TTATACTAGATCCATAAACTTAGTCTGGGGCTTATTTAAACATTCCTACATATTACTAAGGTACTTACTTTATGGTCCCGGTCTAATTTACCAACTCTATGAATTCCAAAGTAATTAGAAGGATCTTTAATCTTAAAGCTGCTTTGTGGTCCATCACTATTTCTAGTTTATTCAAATCTTTGTTTATAACCCATAATCCTTAATTTATTAAACCTTCTAAAATTACTGGGACCTATCCTCAATTTTAAATCATATAATTTAATACCCTTCACGTTTTCTGTAATTGATTCTTTTCTTTTAATATCCAAACAATAACAGGAACTATATCCATCCTTACTTATCTATTTCATTAGTATTATATCAAATTCAATAATTTGGAACAAATTACCTCTCCATGTCCAGATGTCCTCCATGTCCGATGTCATTCATCAATACACTTAATTATCATAGCCCACTATTTACATAACATAATTACCTTAATTCCCTTATGGAGTCATTAACTCCTCCTCAGATCATAGAATCTCCCGTTAAACCAAAAATCATTGTTTGTAATTCACATACCATCGAGTGTGCAACAATTATTTTAAATATCAAACGGCTAAATACCATCAGATTTAATTCTTACTTGTACCATATTAGACCATAAGATGCCACAATCCACACAATATCCATCACTAAATGCAACATCAATTCAATAATTGGACAATTATCTCTCCATGTCCGATGTCATTCATCAATACCCTTAATCATCATAGTCCACTATTTACATAATTCCCTACATTCATACACTTGAAACGAAATAGCTGAAGAATGCTACAATACACTTTGTCCCACCAAGCAGTAATTACTCATAAATAAAACTCTCTCTTCATATAATAATTCCACCAATATTGTTTCTTATGAAATATACTCATCACCATTTATTATAGCAAATCACACCAAATCCTTCAATATTTAAACCTTATAAAAATCATTTATATACTTACACCAATTAATATATCTATTCCATCCAAATATTTATTTCTCATATAAATATTTAAGGAAATTCACTAACCAAACATCATGTTAAATTTCATCAAATTCCATATACTCATTTCAATACTTTAATTAAATAGATTCTTGATGTCTCGAATCGAATTCATTTTAGTTTCTCTTGTTTAAATTATTAGCAAACTCCATTTCTCAATTCCGGCAAGCACACCTATTACACACATTTCATGCATTCTTAAATATTGTATTTCCACATTTCAAAACACGTATTAAATAAAAAAAATAGCACACTTTTCATCAACTTAACCTTTTCAACTTATTAATCCTATATAACTTATCTTCTTATAACTTATCTTCTTACCTACTTAGATTATATATGAATATTATTTATTCCATAGAAGGATTCTAGTTTAAGTTTAAACCATCCCCTTAGCACCATTAGCTAAATCACATCTCTAAAGGACAATGATACAAATTTTAATCATTAAACAATTTGACTTTAACCTGACTGTGAACAACGCTGAAGAGGAAAGCAAGGAAGACTATGTCAACACATGATAGGAATTACTCCGTAGTTACATCTAGACTTATGAACTTTTTGCTCTGATACCACCTTTGTCACGACCCATTTCCGTGGGCCGGACCGGCACTAGGGCCCAGGTAAGCTTAAGGCCCCCGAGGCCCGTATTAAGCCTAAATTATTCAACTCTGATCTACATGATTCTCCACACAAAACAGTAAGCCCATTATGACTTGAGATATAAATTATTAAAAATTTTTCAAACATTCTGCCCAATATGCAAATAATACATAAAAATTTAACCAGGGACCTAATCACAAATTAACTCATAATTCACAATATAGTCACAGTTTTACCTACAGTTAATTACACAATAATTAAATTTATTAGCGTAGTTCGCTAACAATAAGGCCCCAAAAATTTAAATACACAAAACCCTATAAACTGCGGAGTCAAAAAATCTTGATAAAAGTAGAACATTACAAACCAAATTAAAATAACAAAAAAATATAAAAGTTTACATTGTATAACTCTGCAAAATTGTCAACCAATCGACATTCAGCTGCTTCCTAGTACCTTGGAGGAGCTGTTTGGAGAGAAGGGGGTGAGTTTTGCAACTCTGGAATAAAATAAAAAATTAAAATTTTTTTACCCCAAACACCCCATACAGGCAAGCAAAATGGACCAGTAATACTTGAAATGAACACACAACAGTCACTTCATATGTCATTCATTATCAGCAACCCAACAACAATATCACCTTTCAAAATAATCACATCACGTGGCAAAAAGTCAGTGCGTCACCTCAACATCCCCGACGAAGCCGTCCTCTTCAAACGCCCATCCTCTCAAACAGGCACCCGGTAACCAATCCCCCATATCTGGGCCGACCGGTCTAATCCTCACTTGACCGTCCTCTCAATCATTTATATTTACATTCTCTTCTTTTCTTTTCCATATTCACAAATCATTCATTTTCATCAGTTCAATTCAGGTGCACACCGGGGCGGCCGATCTCCCATTTACCCCCGGCCGACGCGGCCACACAGTACAGGATCCTTATTATCGACCGTCCTCACCAAAAACCCATGGTGACCCCACTTCATCCCAACTCTACACACAACAGAGCACAGTATATACACAAGCACAAATAATCAAACAATTCATTTATTCATAATACACCAATTTCATACAAATGCCACAATTATGCACAAGTAATAATTATAGTGATCAAACAATAATATTATATTGAGAAATACAATATGTAAAATATATTAAACATGTAATGTTATGCAAATGCAGTTGTTTTGATATGCATTATTTATTATTACTTTCACAGTGGTGGAGAGGCGAAGCTCTTAGTTTTTTGATTCTATCCGGGAGGGAGCCACTAGATGGACCCGAGCGATCTAAGCAAAGTTTAAAAATGACATCGGAAAAAGGAATAATATCAGATAAAAATATTTATTCATTTCACACTACTATTTCTTAACCTATTTAATTTCTATCAATAATTTACTCTTTATTTATAATTAATATTTCTATAATAAATTATTTATTTCGCTACGAAATTCATTTTATTTTCTACCGACGAAATTTCGACAGCATCTCCCCTAAAAATTGAACTTTCCACCTGTTTAAAATATCAACAATTTTATCTAATAACTCCAAATCACACAGCCCATCCATTGAGCAATCAATCAATCCAATTTTCTCATCCTCCATCCGAATATCAATATCAACATTACCTTAAATTCTCAATTCCTCATTTCATTCCATTCATACTATTATTATCAAAATTCCTCAATAAATTATTTCATACTGAATTTAATTTTAACTAACTATTGTTTTTATACCAGAATTTAATTTTAATTAATCAAATATATTTTTATTAATCGACTCATCAACACTAAATTAAATTAATTCAACTAATCAAATTTGCTAAATTAAATTACCTAATCAAGATTACTAAAATTAATTTAATTAACTAAAATTACTAAGTTAAATTATACCCAAATTACTAAAATAAATTCTGAGAATTAGTAAGAATTGCTCTATACCCCAAGTATAATTTTTGTTGAATTTTGCTAGATCGGAAAGGCTTACGCGTGCTAGATCGGAGCTACGCGCATCGAGACTGCGAGCAAGTGGCGCGATCTACTGGACAGCAAGGATGGTGGCGCGATGAACTCGAGGAGCTGTGGCGCTGCGATTTGGCTGAGGATGAAGCGCTGCTGCAGGTGCGCTGCTGCAGGTGGAGCCGCTGGCTGTGGCGCCGCGGTAGGAGCGCGAGGCGGTTCCTCTGTGCGGCGATGGCTGGCGGTGTTGGCGACTGGCTGTGGGATCGCGCCTCTGCTGTTGCTGCTGAGGTTCGACGCAGGCGCCAGTCACAGCAAGAAAGAAGCAAGAGAGGAAGAAGAAAAGGGGGAAAAGAAAGAAAGAAAGAAAGAAAGAAGAAGAAGAGAAGAAGAGGAAGGAGGACGGCGCTGCTTGTAGATGGTGAGGAGTAGAGAGGTGCAGCGCTGGAAAAAAAAAAGGAAAGAGGATTTTCTAGATGGTTTGGGTCGAACCGGTTTTCGATTCAGTTTCGATTTCGGACCCAAATCTTCTTGAATTTTCGATTTGCGTTTTCGACTTTTTCAAATCGGTTTTCGGTTTCGGGTTTTCTCACAGTGGTTCGCCATTAAAATATTTAAAATAAAATTTCCAAGCTGTTCGCGTTTATTAATTTAATTGGGAAATCTTTTTGAAAATAAAAATTTGAGTTGTTTCAGCTATCCTTTGGTTTTACAAATTTTGAAAATCTTTTTTTTTTTTTTAGTGTTCGCATTAAAATATTAAAATAAATTTCCAAGCTGTCGGTTTATTAAATTTAATTGGAAAATCTTTGAAAATAAAAATTTGAGTTGTTTCAGCTATCCTTGGTTTACAAAATTTTGAAAATCTTTTTTTTTTTTTTTATATTCAGGAGGTTTAATTTCTTCAAGTTGTAGAGTGTCAAGGTTTTAGCTCTCTCAATGAAGCGCATATCTTGATGGTTAAATTTATGTCTTCATCCTTATAGAGACTGAGATGGCTAACCATCTCAATCAATATTTTATTGGTACAAAATATTAAAATTTGACTGCTTCAATATCGGAAGAAATTTGCTAATATTTCTCTTAGGAAAAAGACATCCATAATATTCTTAGTTTGTGAGAAATCAAGAAATTGGATTAATATGGGCAACTAGGAAGAAATTCAAAATCAGAGAGCGTGCCACTCACGCAGGCGCGTAGACATTTCCTATCTGAACGCGTGTGCAGTCGCAGACTTCACGTTTTCACAATGACCTCCCTACACGCTTTTTAAATGTCCTAAAAATTGCGAGTAACAAAACTTAACGGCGGCCCCTAAAATCAAAAAACAGAAAAAACAAGGAAGAAACCTCGAAATTACCGAGTCATTGAGAATCCCAAATCCCAGTCAATTTATATTACCGTAAAAAATAAAATACAACAAAGGAAGAGATTGAGAATTATCATCAACGCGTTATGCAATTATTGTACAACCGAAAAAAGAAATAAAGTAGTAATATAATAACGGGAGACCTTTTTCATATATAAAGAATGCATCAATTCTCGAATCAGCGACCTTCATCATCATCGTCTTCTTCTTCTTATACCATGTCTGTTTCTGGTATCCAAGGCCAGCTTCTTGAAGTTACTGGTACATATTTCTTTATTTTTCTTTAAATTTATCATTTTTGGATGGTTTTAAACAAACCCTCTTAACTGTTTTTTCTTAATTCTTTTTTTTTTTCCCTTGTATTTTTCTTGGATTGGTTGCTATGTTTTCTGATTTTGGATATTTTTGTATTTTGTTCTCGGATGCAGTTATTGGTTGTAACAAATTGAAAGATACAGAATGGATTTCTAGGCAGGATCCTTATGTTATTGTGGAATATGGTAGCAATAAGTCCCGTACAAGAACCTGCACAGGTATGTTTCAACTTTTTAGATCTGATATTAATCCTTTTTGTTTCTAGAAGTTTGGTTTTTGTATTTATTTTTAATAATTTGGTCAAAGTTGATTTAGGCATATAACGTTTTTTCTTTTGTTTTATTTTTTAGATGGTGGTAAAAATCCTACATTTCAAGAGAAGTTTATATTTAATTTAATTGAAGGGCTAAGAGAACTGAATATTGTGGTTTGGAACAGCAATACATTGACATATGATGATTTTATTGGCAGTGGAAAGTAAGTAATCTGCATCCTTTTTGGTGTAATTCTGATTTTTTTTATGCATACCCATTTGCATCTTTGGGTTAGTTAAGCTTATTGTTTGTTGTATTGCTTTGTACAGAGCTCAATTGCAGAAGGTTCTATCAGAGGGGTATGATGATAGCACTTGGCCACTTCAAACTAAAACTGGCAGGTAATTACAAATGCAATTTAACCCCTTATAAGTTTGAACTGAGAAATCAACCAAGAATCTTCTAAACAGTCACATTCAAATTACTATGTAGAAACTTGAAAATTTAGCGGATAATTTTGTGTAACGTTTTCTATTGAGGAAAGTGTTTAAGGTTTATGCTCTAAAGTTATTTAGCAAGTTCTAGTTTTTTTTTTTTTTTTGCACATGATAATAGAACAAAGTTTGGCCGTAGCATCTTTATTTTGGATAGTTAACAATCGGGGTTGGGCTATTTCATTCTGTTCCTATATAATCACCAATTATTGGGTGTATGTATGCTAGTGTTCAGTGGTGCATATCAAATACTGGCAGTTAAAAAATACAAGTATTAATATCATTTTTTTTTTCTTGTTGTTAAACATCTTAATCGGCTTAGTGCTTGACACCTCGATCATTGGCCCAAGCAAACTGATTTGCGAATTCTATTTTTTTGATAGAAGTTCCTTCAAATGTACTGAATTCCATGTTCAAAATTGTGGAATTATAAATGAATTTCACAAAATTTTGTGAAACTTGCTTCATTATACTATACAAGTTCCTTATGGTGAAAAAGAATTGGAGAACTAAAGGGGATCAGATTTGTTCTCGATAAAATATCTGTATTTGATCTGAAATTTTACAGGTTCGAGGTAACAAATCCTAGTAGAAAGTAATAATGAGCTTTTATTTGATGTTACTATTTCTTTTTTCTCTCTGTGTGTGTGGAGGGGGTTTTTTTGAAGTTGGGGGAGGTTAGCGTGTGAGTGGACGGGAGCTACAAGAGAATTCTACATCTTGGACCTATGAGATTTAAAGCGCCTCTCTAGTCTAGCACAATCTAAGCTCATTATTTATCAGCTCCTATCGTAATTGTGTTAGTTTCTCCTTCATGAACCTAAACAAATGATAGAGAAGTGAACATTTACAATAGAATGATTCAAACAAATTGAAGAATAACAGATAAATTAATAGAACTAAGAGAGAATTTACTTGTATTAATTGATAATCTGCATGACGTGTCCCTTCCTTCATCCTCAAACTTGCTCCTCTTGCAACTTTGCTTCTTCGAGTGTGTACCAAATAATGCCTTGGGCCTGAAACCCCATTCCTCTCACCAAGTTACTGTTTGAGCTTTCTTGAGAAGTCACCATTTTCTTTTCATTTCCAGTTTCTTTGGGTTTCTTTAGAGGAAAAATGATATAGGAGAAAAAAATGTTGAAAAAAGGTTGGTTTTTTTTTTTTTTTTTATGTTCTTAATTCTTTTGGAACTGTCTTGGGGAAGCTCAAAATTGAAAAAATACAGAATTGTTTTTTGGTCCAACGTAGAGCAATACTGCATCAATTTGGTCCAGAAAGTATTGGATGAAATCATACGCTATGTTGTGTTCCATTTTCTTATCTGACAATTTGAAATCTTGCTCTGCCAAAAGAAATATTATGTGGGGCAACTCATTAGTGTATTCTTAATATTCTATGATATGATATGTCATATATTCACGTCTTACACATCTACTTCCTTTCAAAATGTGTTATTTTATATTGCAGATATGCTGGAGAAGTGAGGCTCATTCTGCATTATGCAAATGCCAAAGTAAGCAATCTGTGGTCCTTTTCTGACTGTATAATTGCAATATCATGTATCTATGCATGGTGAAATTTTTATTTGTGGAAGCTAAATTACTACATTTATTTATTGCAGAAACCAGCAACAAGCTTCGCTCCTTCTGCTCCACCATACGCACCACCTGTTTCACATGCCTCACCATATTCAGTACCACCTCCAGCATCAGGAGCTTCTTATGCACCACCAACCACAGCTTACCCAACTCCAGCTCCTTATCCTTCATACTCACCTAATCCAGCATATCCACCATCTGCGTACCCCCCTCCACCGTTTGCTTATCCCCCTCAGCCATACCCATCACCTTCGACATACCCTCCACAACCATACCCACCACCTCCGCATCCTTCCCCCTATTATCCTCCAGGTAACTTCATATTCCATTTTGTTTAATAGTTGATCCTATCATTTTTCTCAGCATTAACATTAAAAAATATTTCTTTTCAGGTCCTTTTCCTGGGCTTTATCCTCCTCCACCTTACTAAAAACGTTCAGCAAACAGGTCCAGATGAAGATGCAACATTTGGAACCTACCGCCATGCATAGTGGCATTAGAATTTTAGTCTTGGCAGTGATACTTCTCCAAGGGCAAGTCTAAGTGCAACAGTAATGATAATCTATTGTGACTTGGAATGTCAACGATTCAAACTGGAAAAAGAGCCTCTTCGCGATAGAAGGCAGCACTTCATTTGATCCTCTTCAGAACCTGTAATGGGTATGCCTCCTGTGCAGGATGCCCTTTTAGTTATACTCACGGAAATCTGATGATCTTTGTCTTCTCTATGACAATTGTCCATAGAATGTTAAATGTATTGCATTTTACAGATAGTTAAATGTATTCTCATTATCGGTATGGCTTTGCATGAAGCTGATATGATCCTCTATTTGAATTGATTGACCGAAATGAGAAAAGTCAAAATGGAATGATTTCTCGCGTTAAGTTTCAGCTTTTTTTTCAGTTCCATTATCTGCATTCTGGGTAACCAAACACCTAGGAAATAGGAATGATGGTTCCAATCGCATTTCTAGTATCATCTTCTAATTGATTTTGTATTGAGCATATGCCACGTCAAGAGAATACAGTGTGTTTTTCTACCGGTCCTATTTAGGTTGGTTCTCTGTATGCTTAAGCGCAGATTCGGTTCGATTCTGGGTAACTTTATTTTTCTTTGTATCCAAACTCTAGTCATCCAAAGTTGTCCTTCATCCTATACTGCTATTTCTCAGTTCAATATATAGAGAAAGCACAGCTGGATTGTCGGAGCTGGGCTATCATAATCCTTTAGCTTTATTGTGTTTTTAACCTTCCCTTGCCCTTAAAAAGCTTTTGATATGAAAATAAGAATGTCCGTTGTGTAACTATTGACCAACATAAATATGTTATATTTGTTTTTTTGACATAAGCTAGATATTCCGGTTCCTTACCCAGCTGGGAAATTAGGGTTCCGACAAAGAGTTTCAGAAGCTATTTTATCACTTAGAAGTGTCGTTATTTTAGTTACCTTACCGCTTTCGCTTGAGGGTTAGGAACTATCAATGACTCCTTGTTTGATATAACTAAGAGGTTTAATCCCTTTCGGACCATAAAGTCTAAAAATTTTTTCTTCTCTAGGCAAAGTGCAGACTAATGTGCATTCTGGATATCAAATTTGTGTTTTCACCCTTACAGGATTAAGATCGCTTTACCACTTCAACCAACAATTTTATGTTGTTTTTATGTGATTAATTTCAAATTTTGAAGTGATTGCAATTTGAATTTTACAACTCATTTATAGTTATAGCCAAGAAACGTTAACAAAGGCAGTCCCTATGTAATTTGCGTCAAATTGCCAAGACATGATTCATGTCAAAATCTAATTTCCTAATTAAATGATAAAATCTGTGATGGTTACAGTTTTAATTGCTTGGTCTTGGGTGATTCAGTACTTCAGTTAGCTAGAAAAGGGGTGAGGACATTATAAAATGAGCTTATCAGCTATTAAATTTGAAAATTATACTATTACAAATAGATGACACGAAAGTTCAATTATGAAACTTATGCTATTCACTATTTAGGTAGGTACAGAATTAGCTGGGTTGAAGGCAAAATTATAAATGGAACACGTGTACAAATGTGTTTTTGGGGCCCAATTCAAACCGTGAGCCTCCACCGCTAGGTTGGGGTGGCCCAAACCGTCGGTTGGGAATTGGTTGGAACTGAAATCGGAACTGGCTATAATTCCGGTTACGGCTCGATGCGATTCTGGTTCTAAGTTTTTTAGAACTGTGAACCGATAGTTCTGAGAATCGACTGGAACCTGAGGTTTTGACAATTGATTCCAACACATTTTTTTTTTCAAAAATTGTTCACAAAATCTCAAAATTAACCATCCTAACAACTGGCTATATAATGTCTACTTATATTAAGAGTATTTTTGTTTAGTTGATTTTTTTGTTTTAAAATTATGCGACCATCTGGAAAACTGGTCGAAACTGTCGATTTTGAAATTGTTAAGGAACCAAAATCAGAATCGAAACCCTCAATTTTCGGTTTGATTATGGTTCCACATTGTTTAGAACTCGAATTGTCAGTTCCGGAACTGCGGTCACCGTACTGTTAGGGGTAAATTAGATGATTTAAAGTTCCATTAGGTTTTATGTTTAATTTACTGAAAAAATTTTTTAAAAAAGAATCATTTTTTTATGTCTATCCCTTGTTTTCTGATCTTGGTATGAGGTAAAAGGGATTTTAAATTTCCAAATTAGGGTATAATTAACAGACAAAAAAAATGTATACATACAATTTTAAAAATAAACAAAATAACGCTTAAAGAGAGAAAAAAAAAAAAAGCAATAAATTAGAAATTTCTGATTATGAAAAAGTGGACAGATTGATGCTTTTTGATGGGGCATTATGAAAGTGCATGGTTCATTTCTCATATGATTTAGAGACATTTGACCTGCAAACAACAGCTGTGCTTGCTAGATTTCAGAAGTTTGTCTTGTCTTAGTGCATGAGAGAGCTATTCTTTTATCCCAAGAGTGAAATCACACAAGCCACTAGGATTTAAGCTTTCTGCTTGTTTTATCAGAAAATGAAATTAAACTAATCATAACTGGAAATTGCAGATATTACACTTTTGCTGTGACAGCTATTTTGGGAATCATTATTAACAAAATTTTAGTGTTTGAATTCTGCTAAAAAAATCCTGAAACTCAAGATGAGATACTTAAGGACTTTGCCTCAGAAAGTTTATTTTCATGGGAGTTTCAAAATGCTAAAGAAATATTCATTGTAAGTATAAAAGAATCTCACGTGTATGAAAAAAAAAAATAACAATGAATAATTTCAATCACATTCTATTATTTTGGTCAAATTCTTTTAATTTTATCAATCGACTGTTTTATCAATAGACATATAATATATAAACAGCAAAAATTTTGAGAAGTTCACTTTAAATTAGCTGGAGGATGGATGGTAAAGTTTTAGTAAATCATGCATGGTGAAAACTATGCGAAGGTGAAAATAATGGTGGCAAAAGTTTTGAACATTATTAATTTAATTTGGTTTCTCTGTTGAGTTTACAACTAATCATCTCACTTTGCATTGATGAGATATGCTAACCAGAAGCACTTAATTGGTTGAAAGATGCATGCATACTGATAAGAGAGATTCTATTATGCTTATAGTACTATAACAGGATCTTCACAACCTTTAAGCAGAAATGGTCACACATGGATTAATCAATTCAAATCTTCCCGAAATCATTATCTAAGAAGGTGAATTGAAGATTTTAAAAATCCCATATAATGTCACCTTCGAAGCATATATAGTTTTAGTGGTTGCCATGTGAGGCTAGTCAAAGTTGGCAAGTTGAGATATGAGTAACAATGTCTTTTGCTTGGGTCAAAGGGAAGATGAGGTATGATTGGTGACTTTGAAATAAGTATTCGTTATAGTGGATGACAATCTTCTAACCATTCTCATCAAGTGTTTCATGTTTTTAATTTCCTTTTAAAGTATGAAACATAATCAAACATTGTCCCCATTTGCTTAAAGTCGACGATGTTGTGCTTGAAAAGCATTCCACCTCTCTTTTTTTTTTTTTTAACCGTTCGGCTTTTAAAATTCATTGACTCGATTAGTTCGGATTTACATCGAACAAATCCATAAAATAAGCAAAGCATTGCACCTTTGTTATATGTTCTATAATTTTTAAATTTTATAGTTTACACTATAAAATGTGGCTGGTGAGATTAATTTATATTTATATTGAAATGAAATTTAAGTAAAGAACTCCTAATAATAGGGAATTCAGATTTCAAACCTTTGATGTTACGAATAAAATTTACCTGAAAATGCAAATTCACCTTTTGATATCCAATTACCTGAAAATGCAAATTCACCTTTTGATATCCAATTATACGCAGATTTATATATTTTATAAGACATAAAAGAGAGAATTGTTAATGAAGTGATTAGTTAACTACTAATGGTAATGGTAATGGATGATTAGACATAAGCTTTAAGGATGGTCTGGCCATTATGATGTAAAGTGTGATCATAATGGTAAAAGAGGTAGATTCAAAGAGTCAAGCAGTAATAGTTTTAACTGTTTAATGTGTTCAAATTTTAGCTGTCATTGATGCAACCATGTAAGCATCATTGTTGTTGTTGCCACTATAACCATCATCACCTTAATTTTTTCAGTAGAAATGACAATTTCTGAAGTTAAAAGAAAACAGGACATGAAGCATGTTAACATCTCTTGCTGCAATTTATTTATTTTTCAAAAATATATTATAGTTTCTCGATATATGTGTTCACTAACCAATTTGTCTTTCATCTTTGTTCCACCTAATAAAGCAGACTTAATGATTAGTCATTAGAGTGTAATTTGTCCCATTAATCTGCATAATTAAGTTTGTGATTACAAATTTGTCTCACGAATGTGTGTTAGATTTTTAAATTGCCTAGCATATCGTTTTGTGGCCTATGATCTAACATAATTTCTAATATTAATACACACTAGAGTTATTCTACTATAAGATTTATTTTGACGTATACAAAAATATTTAAAAAGAAATAGAATGCAGTACTAAAATTTTACGATTGATTTTTTTTTTTTCCAATTCGTTTTGATTTTTATTTATGTAAAAATGAAAATCCAAAAGTTAAAAATGAATTGGATTAACCTAAAAAATAAGTCAAAGTTGAAAGACCAAATAAATTGGTTCAATCATATATAAACCAATCAATTCAATTCAATTTATATTTTATAAAATTTTAAATTATTCGATTTTTACCGGTTCAGTCTAATTTTCAACGAATTTATGATTTATTTACCCTATTAAAATTATTAATATAATGTCATAATTTACCAAAAGATCACTAGTGTGGTAATTGCAGCAAAAGCCCTGCATTTGTTGTGTCGTTTGGTGATTGGAAAAATATCCAAACGCAACCTAACAAAAGAAATTTTTTTTCAGATGAGCAACTTTTGTGTAAAGAAGCGTCGTTGATGTTTCGGAAGTTGTCATCTGTCCACATATGTGAAGAAGAATTTTTGGAAGTTTCTTGGTGTTACTTTCGTCTAGTCCAAAGACCCGTTTGTCCTTTGCAATTTTTCACAATTTCAAATGTGTTAGGTACATATCATATTATATTTTATTTTGAATTAGATGTTTTTCCAATTTGGTTCCTTATTAATTGTATCTATTGATAAAATGATTCACTTTGAAGATTATTTTTCTATTTTAATTAGGTAATTGTGTGACACTTGCTAATTTAAAAGGCTTTAATTTGCATACACGACAATCACTGACATAAATTCCTTGAAAGTAACATAATTTTAATATTTTAATATTTTTTGGATGGAATTTTATATTTTAATATTGCTTGTTGCAAAATTAATTTGCAGATTTTAATATTAATACATTTGAAAAATAATTTAGAAGGTTAAGAATTGAAATTTTAGTAACACATTTTTTTAAGTTGTAAAATATTATGTGAGTATATTCATTATAAATATCAAATTTATTCCCCATATAGTTTCTAAATATAGAGTTTCATAAATAGCCAACGACATATTATTAAGGGAGTAATCTTCAAACATCATTTTTAAATATTGGTTAATAATGTAATATTTTGGATTTTTTGCTTTTTTTTTTTTCAAATCAATCCTAATTGTATGCTAACTTAAAATACTTATATGAAATTTGACTATGAAATTTGACGTAACGTAATTAAATATTGTTTTATATAAATATATATTAAAACTATTTTTAGTTACACTACATTTCTGATTATTAAAATTAATTTAAAGTAAATTTATTTCTTATTTATTGACAAAAAGTTCAATTCTCAAAAATATAAATTGAGAATGAAAATATGTTGTTTGGTACATTACATAAAGGGTTTTGTCTCGATTAAGGATTCATTTGGTTTAATTGTTTATACCAGCGAATAGCGAATGCTATAGTTGGTGATTAGTAATTAATAATGGTTAGTTGACTGAATCAACAATTGTTTGGGACTTCTATCAACTATTAATTATTGGTTAAAAAATTTACTAAACACATACAAGTTAATTGTTGGGTATGAATAGCTATGGGCTGCATAAATCAATTGAGCCAAATGTTCTCTAACTCATAAATTTATTCAAAAATAACTCTAATCATTCAGATAAAAAATAAAAATATTAATAGTTAAATTAAGAAATCAATAAACAAAGAAAGTAAAGTAATTCTATACAAAGTAGCTTTCTACATCTCTCTGTTACCACCGCGCGCATCTCAGAAGTTGGTACAACCACTGCCCCTCCACGTAGTTATCTCAGCCCGCGCGTGGAGTGTTATAATGAAATATAGCGTAGGTTGCGTTTACTTAGTCATATTGACTTTCTTGCATTGTCCATACAATTTTTTCTTGTAGATTACAAGGTCATCCGCCGCATATATAATTTTATGCTTAAATATTTTTACTTTAATTTGTTATTTTTAATAAATAAATCTTAAAAAATATGTTGTACTAGATTCTGTTTATTTTTTAAAATAATTATCTAAAAAATATTTTTCAGATTTTTCCATGTTTGGAATTATTTAGAAAAATTATTTAACGGAAAATATTGTGTAGGTTAAAGAAAAACTAACATTTAAAAAAAAAAAACTTCTCATTTTCAACAAAGAAAAATCTTTAATATTATTTGACAATTTTATCATAACTTTATAATTTAATTTATTAATAATTCATCAGTGTTACTCACCGATCACCACTAACTACTACCATCAGCCACTGTTTACTATCTACTATCACCACCAGTCATCGACTATCGGCCACAACCACTACCATTGATTATGATGATTATTACTATTTATCATTTTTAAAATTTTTTGTATTTTAATAATAATTTCTTAAAATATAATTTTTTAATTTATAAATATTTTTAAATAAATTTTCAGTATCACAACGAAGCAATGAAAAATGAGTTATTTGGATTATATTTTTCATAAAAAAACATTTTTTCTGGTAAAGTTTGAGCTTACAAAGTCTTAACCTTGTAAAGTTTAAACATTTTCATGGATAATGTGTTTTTTTAACCTTCTCAAGCAAGTTTTAGAAAATATTGGCAATGTACATATGCATTGAGCATTCGATTGGTTCGATTTAAAGTAAACCAATATGAATTGAATATTTCAAAAGTTTTAAGATGAAAACCGAATAAAATAATATGTAAGAACAAACTTATTGATTGGATTCAATCGATTTGATTTTATTTTAAATTATTTTTAGATGGACTATACTTATTTATTAGGCTCAATAAAAATCGAACCAAATTGAAATAAAATGTAAAATCAAAACTAAATATATTAAAAAGCTGAATCAATTGAATCCAACCGGTTCAGTTCGAGATGATGAGTTTAACCAAAAAAAATATAATATATGTATAATAGACGTAGTATATGGAGAAAAAAGGGGAATAGTAAGTTAGTAAGAAGGTCAAAAGAGAAAAGACAAAGCACCTATTTAGGGTTTGATTGAAATTTAAAAAAAAAAAAAGGAAAAAGAAAGAAAACTCAGTTACCAATACAAATGAAATGAATTGGTATAGTATTGGAGAGAGCACAGTGACTTTATTTTTGTTTGAATAAGAGGTTGCTTTCATGGGGTCCGGCTTGGTGTGTGTGCCGTTACATTTTCTGCCCGCCAACCCAACTCACCGAACCGAAAGTACTCACATTTCCATTACCCAACATTTCATATTATTTATATTTTTCCTTTTTTTTTTTACTTCTTTTCGTTCATTTTTCTACTTTTATATATATTTTAATGAATTTATGCTTGAATAAATTTGTATTACATGTATATTAAGACATAGTCTACTAGTAAATACATGTATAATCTAACAATATATCTATGTTCTAATCCTTCCTTTTCATAACACTCAAAAACCATTGAAAATATAATTTTTTATAAAAAAATTATGAAAAAAAAAGATTTGGAATGTCCAAATATGACAGGTATCATACAACGGAGTTAAGATGTATATACATGAATGTATCAATACTTTTTTTTAAGGAACAAAAAATGATAAAATAGTAATCATAAGTTATAATTTTTTAATTAAAAATTAACTATTGATTGAGTGACTGAACATGAATATACAGTTAATTTAAATAATTTTCTCTTTCAAAATTTGAAAGTTAATTTTTCAAAACTATAATTCATGAGTGGTAATTCATGGTATCACTTTATTACTAGATTGTAAATTAGAAATTAAAAAAGAAAGGTACTTCTCAAAAAAAATAAAAGGCAAAAAAGATAATTGGCAATAATTTTTTTATATTGAAAATTCTTTAAAAATTATTTAAATATTTGAATTTTTAACTTTTATACATTATTATTCTATCAACAAATAGCTAATTTTATTTTATTTTTAAAGTATTATAAACGTAAAAAAACAAAAAGAGACAAGCGTGAAACCCACTCTGTTAAAAATCAATCCTCTCCTTTTCCTTTCTTTCTCTGCTTTCAGCCTCTTCTTTCATAGCCACCTCTCTCAACCTGCGTCAACCCCACAAAGAAAGAAAGGAAAGAGGCTCTATAGCTCTTGTCTTAAGGGGCACCTATATAGAGAGAGAGAGTGAAAGAAAGAAAGAGAAAGAACAATGAGCTTTTCTTTTATGTTCTCTTTTGTATAATGAGTAGTGGACCAAAACCTCTTCTTCTCAGAAGAAGATGGAACACATCAACACCACAAACCCTGACCAAAGCTCTCCTTTCTTGTTAGAAACTCTTTACTGTGAAGAAGAGAGATGGGAAGAAGAAGAGCAAGAGAAAGAACACGAAGAGGAAACCATGAATATTGAAAACAGAAGTAGCGCATCTTTTTTTCCGTTTTCAATATTACTTGAACAAGACTTGTTTTGGGAAGATGGAGAGCTTCTTTCACTCTTTTCTAAAGAAAAAGAGCAAGAAACCCATATCAACGTTAAAAATGTCGAAACAAACTCTTCCCTCTCTGTTGCTCGTTTAGATGCTGTGGAATGGATGCTTAAAGTCAATGCCCATTATGCGTTTTCAGTTCTTACAGCAATTTTGGCTGTTAATTATCTTGATAGGTTTCTTTCTAGCCCTTATTTTCAACAAGACAAGCCGTGGATGATTCAACTTGTAGCTGTTACTTGTCTTTCTTTGGCTGCAAAAGTTGAAGAAACTCAAGTTCCTCTTCTTTTAGACCTCCAAGTATGTTATTGTCATTTTTTCTTTTAACTAGCTAGCTTTTATTAGATTTTAATTTCATATCGTTAATCAAAATTATTGTCATTTTGCTGATTTTCTGTTATTTATGATATGGGTTTTTGCTTGTGCTTTAGGTGGAGGACACCAAATATATGTTTGAAGCTAAAACAATTCAAAGAATGGAGCTTTTAGTGCTTTCTACACTAAAATGGAAGATGCATTCAGTGACTCCACTTTCATTTCTCGATCACATCATTAGAAGACTTGGATTAAAGACTAATCTTCATTGGGAGTTCTTTAAAAGATGTGAGCATCTCTTACTTACTGTCGTCTCAGGTAAAGTATCTTACTTTTTCTCCTTGATTTAAATTTTTCGATAAGAACAAACAGTAAAGGGGAAAAAAAGGAAAAAAAAATTCTTTAATGGTGGTGTTTCCAATTTTTCTTTCTTGTAGATTCAAGATCCATCAGTTATTTACCTTCTGTGCTGGCTACTGCTACAATGATGCACGTTATAGACCAAGTTGAGCCCCTTAACTCCATTGATTACCAAAATCAGCTTCTGGGTGTGCTTAAAATGAGCAAGGTTTGTACATTTACACCGTAAATCTTTTATTAAAATGCATTAATCATTATAGTTCTTTAATGGGCTAATCATAAAATGTTCATTAATGGTTTTGTAACAGGAGAAGGTAAAAGATTGTTATGAATTGATTCTTGAGGTATCAAAGAGAAAGAGTAATTATAACAAGAATGGCAAGTCTTACTCCTACAGTCTTAAGCGAAAGTACAATGAGCCAATCCCAAGCAGTCCAAGTGGAGTGATTGGTGCAAGTGTTTTTAGCTGTGACAGCTCAAATGATTCTTGGGCTATGGGAGCTTCAGTCTCTTCATCAGCAGAAGCACCACTTTATAAGAAGAGCAGAGCCCAAGACCAATGGGTATTTGTGGACATCGTTGGTAGCCCTCATTGATCTCTCCTTTTTCTCTTTATAGACAAAAGTCTATATTAAATATGGATATTTATGTCTTTTCAATTAAATTAAATTGCCTTCCTCTTCTTCTCCTTTCCCATATACAATTTCAAGATCTGTCCCTATACAGTCTTCGACATGGAGATTGGTTTTTGGTGGCATTTTTGAGAGAAGAGGAAGGATATGGAGATGGGTCATCTCATTTTCTCCCTCTTATTTATGTCTTTTTGCAATGTTCCTTTTTCATGTATAACTAACTCTCTTTTGGGAGAAATACTTTATATGGACATATTAATATCATAATTCATAAAATAAATTCAAAGCATTCTTTTCCTTGTAAATATTTTTTGTATTCTCTTTATTTTTTTAGAAATTATTATCCAAAATTTATTGTCTTCTTTTAAAGATCACAGAATATTAGTTATTTTTTTAAATGAGAAAAAATAATTTATCAAATTACGAGAGTCATTAGGACTTTTTGTCTTTTAACCAAAGGTCTCGCATTCGAGTCTACTAGGTTAATTGTTTTGCATTACATTACTCGGGGATGCATTCCGAGTTTAATGGGTTTTTGGATACTGGTTATTGATTGGAGGAAGAAAAATTATGGAGTACAAAACTAAAAATAAAAATAGAGCAAGGAAGCAGTACTAGATTCCAGCATATTAATGACTATAGGTATGTTTGAACCGTTGATCCAAACATCCAACATTAATTCTATAATGTAAGTGAATATTATTACAGTGTAAAAGAGGCTGTCCAGCCAGAATGATAGATTGATTGATGTCTGTAGCATGTCAAATATTTTAAATAAGTAATTAATTAAGTAATTGTGGATTATGGAGTAATTAAATTGGAACAGGAGGAGATTAAGTGCTTTGTTTACAAGTGGAGAGGAACAGCTTGTCGGCCAGTGGGGTTATGGGTTTTGGTTTGAAGAGAGACTTTTGGATTGGGAGAGGTTTTGACTTCGTAGGAAGAGCCAACCTTCTCTTTTGTTGCTGAAAGCGATCTTACTATACTACTATCCATTTTTATTTTTTTTTTCCTCTATAGTAAGTTAGTGACCTAACCCAACCTAAACAATACTATTCTTCTTCTATTGAACTTTTACTTTACCCTTTCCTTTTTTTTTTTTTTAAAAAAAATATTGATGCTATTAAATTTAATTTATATATAAAAATACCCTGCCACATAAAGATTGAGGTTAAGAAACAATGAAAAAAAAAAATCTATAAAAAACTTGAAAACGTTGTTAATGAAATGATATTACTAATCGACATTCTTATATTTTTAATGTTAAATTTTTTATTATTAAAAAATAAACGATTTAATTGTAAATTTAATATTTCTATTCATAAAAAAATTATGTGTGTGCACACCCAGGAAGCAAAAAATGAATCAACATATAAACTGGAGTTGTGAAATTAATTGATCTTCCTAATTATCCTTATTGTTAAATCCATTTGACCTAAATGACTTAAATGTTCAATTGATACTCCCATGTTAGATATCACATTAGCCTAATAATGAAGTCATAAAGATTAATATAGAAACCAAAAGAGTGGAAACAAATAGCACCCTAGAAAAGCTTTGCTGTCTTATTTTTGCTAACCTAATTATAAATATCTATTAAACTTTAATGGTTCAATTTGCAATATAAGCACTTTAAGTGATAGGTACTTAATTAAGTAAATTACTAGTATTGTTTTAGCATTCTTCCCACTAAACAATTGGGATAAAATTGTAAATAGCCTTTTTTTTTACCAATAATTAAGTAATATTTTGTTGATTCTGTCCTTTTAGGTTGTTAATATGAGATTAGACTAACTTGGATTAGGATTAAAGCTAGCTTGGCAAAAGTTATGATACCCACTACACTATAAAGTTTACATATTCTTGTTCATACTTCCCTAGATTGCCACAGATTCATCATGCCCTATTTTTAGTGGATTCTAAAAATAGTGCATGCTTATACTTTTGGTGCTTCTTTTGCTTTTTTTTGTTCTTTTAATTTTCACCATTTCTTTTTTTTTTTTTTTTTTTTTTGCTTCTCTTTTGCTTTTTTTGTTCTTAATTAATTATTCGTACCAATTTTTTTTTTTTTTTTTTTTTTCATGGGTTTCTCTTACTTTTTTCACATGTTGCATGTTATTTCTTGAAATCTATTGAATTTAATCAATGCATGCCAACCATTTACATTGGAAAAACAATTCACCAAGTGTTCTTTTACTTTTACCTCCATTATTTTCATGTATGTGTGGTAAGCATTGTTAGATTTTTTAAGATGTGTACTTGTGATATGAAATGATAGGTTGTAAATGTTTCAAAATTTCATGCTAATTATTTTTAAATGTCAAAAATATAACATGTTGAATGGACTAATTTCTTTTAAATGTCAAAAATCAAATTTTTAAAGAAATGAAGAAGAGTAAAAAGTTGTTTATTTTATGATATATCATATTTTGTTAGCTTGTGCACTTAAATCCTATTACAAGCATTAACAATAATTTAAGCAAAAAAAAAAAAAAAAAAAAAAAAAAAACAGCTATACAACAGCAATAACATTAATATTCAGCAAAAAAACAATAGGAAAAAACAAGACAGGAGAGAACAAAAAAAGAACGAAGCACACGGCAAGTCTTCCGCCACAAAAGAGAAAATTTCAAAAGAGAGGAAGAGAGTAGAGAGAGATAGGGGACAGCCACACAGAGGGTTTTAGGGGTTAGTAGTTTGTTTATGAGAAGATGATTCATCTAAAAAAGGTTAATAAAGGGGGAGAAGGTGCGGGGGATTTCTGCCAAATTGGGGACCGACAAAATCTTTCGAAAATTGCGGAGAGATTGTCTTAGGCGTTCAATCCTTTATTTTATTAATTTTAATTTTATTTTCTCCTCCTTCTGCTTTATTAGGTTGGTAGCATGTATATAGACCTCTTCCTTATAGTAGAGTTGCATGTCTAGTGCTCATATTCATTATAGAGAGAGATAGAGAGCAGTTGAGTGTTTTTGTTCAAAAGGGGGAAACATCTTGCTCTCAAAGCATCAAAAAAAAAAAAAAAAAAAAAAAAAAAGAAGAAGAAGAAGTCTTCCCACAAAAGAAAATTCAAGAGGAGAGAGAGAGAGAGAAGGGACAGAAAGAGGGTTTGGTTGTAGTTTTATGGAAGAATGATTCAATCTAAAAAAGGTTAAAAAGGGGAAAGGTGGGGGATTTTGAAATTGGGAGACAAAATCTTTCAAATTGCGGAGAATTGTCTTAGGCGTCCCTTTATTTATTTATTTTTTAATTTTATTTCCCTCCTCTGCTTTAAGGTTGGTAGAGTATATAGATTTTATAGTAGATGCATGTCTAGTGCTCATATTCATTATAGAGAGAGAGAGAGAGTGATGTTTTTTCAAAGGGAAACAGCTTGCTCTCAAGCTCCACAGATGGTGAGATCAATTGTGTCCCCACACCAATAATTGTAGAATAATATGCTCATACCACAAGCTTACATATAATGTAACCTAATAATATTACAAATATTTAAATAAATATCTATAAGATGTGATCTTATTAATTTCTTAAATGTTTGTAAAAATATATAAAGTGATAGTCCTTGTGTTTGAGTCTCTCTAATTTTATAAATTTTGACTGATTTATTAAAAAATAAAAATTATTCATTATTATTGAAAGAATTTTATTTGAATATTATAATTCGTTCGACTGAACGGGTGGAAATATAGCTTATAATATTATTCCAGTTTATTCAGATTGTGTTCAGCAACAACTTCTAAGTAGCCAGTTAAAACACTAAATGTTATATTTTATAGTTCAGTAACATAACATTTGAATTAGTTTTTAGAGATTGAGATAACTTTTTATAAAAGGTTAATCTTTATAATGATAGTTTTTAATATTTTATAAAAAAAATACTCAAATAATTATGAGCTAAATGTTATCAAAACAACTAAATATAACTTGTAATCCTTACTGTCCAATAAATAAAGAAATAAATATTGTCTTTTGACTTTGCCACTTATTATTGTTTCATAAATAAATCACATAATTCATACACAAAATCCAAAAAGTAAATTCTTTTTCTTCTTTCATTCTGCTCTTATTTATTTTATTTTTGTTTACAGCTGTAAAGTTTAAAGACAATGTAAGAGAAGACCAAACAGAATGTGGGTCTCTCTTCCTTTTTCTCTATATACAGCCTATGTTCATGTTTCACGCCAGAGTTTTTGTTTTATTCAGAAAAAAAAAAAAAAAGGAAAAAAAAGGAAACAATATTATTATTTTTATTTTTTTTGACATTAAAGGAAACAATATTATTATTAATGGGAACTTTGCATTCCTTACCTTTGTAAAACCACCTGCCACCAACTATAAACCTTTTGGGCAATCACTGCCTTTTGACTCTCTGAAAACTTGCTAAAACCAATTAATTACAACCAATTTCCTCTAAATGTCAAATGTTGCTGTTTTTGTATTTGATATTGAAGTTTTAACTGCTGTTTTAAATTCTATTTTGATTACTTTTAAAATTTTTCTTATTGAGAATTACAAATTACTTTGAATCTTATTCTCAGAAATCTTCTTTGGGCACTAAAAATTTTATGTGTGAATATAAAAGTTATTGTGATATCACATGAGATTACTAAAATGAATTGGTCCCCAAAAAGTAGAATTGGGTGATCAAATTCAAAATGAAAGACTTTGACATGTGCATCTTATCATGGAGGGTCAACAAGATCAAATCAATATAATTAATTAGTCAAAACCAAATTTCTCCTGATTAGCTTGTTAGTCTATTTGGATGGTCGCCAATTTTGCTTCCAATTGACTTTGGGTTGTCCATTAATTTAATATAATAAATTATACAATTTTTGAATTTTTCAATCACCAAATCAATTCAGTCTATTAGAACAAGTACATTAATAATTGAAAATGAGTTAAATTGATCTTTTTGATGGAAAGTTTTCATTAAATTCAATCTTCAAACTCTATGTTGAGTAAATTATATTATTGCGAATAATTTTAGCATTATTCTAAAATTATACTTGCCGTCAGTCTTAAAAATAATTGTTTGGAATATCAAGAGATACGGTGAATTTCTCTTCTATCATAATTAAAGTTGGATCATTTAGATTATAAAAATATTCATGTTTTGTATAAATTACTAATTTTATATAAATAACTTTTTAATATTTAATCTCTTAAATCACGATTTAGTAAAAAATAAATGAACATGGAAATTGACATTTTACTGAATATATAGCCATTGCTTTCTACTTAGTCTTCTGGAATGGCATAAATACTCCTATTTTCCAAGTATAGACA